CGCTATGAGTCGGTTCCAACTCAATGGCACCTGACAACAACAACAATATTTCCAATAAACAATGAGCAGAGATTGAGAGACCTGGACTATTGCTGAGAAAGAAGAACAGGACCAGAAAGTGTCCTTTGCACTGAGAACCTCCTAAGACCAGGGGGAGATTGATGCCAGGACACATGGTTTCTCCAAGGGATGCTGGGTCCGCAGGAGTTGAAAGGAGACAAAGACTCCTCCAGAGCCAACAGGGAGAGAAAGCCTTACCCTAGAGCTGGGGCTCTGAATTCAGACCTCTTGGCTCCTAAACCTTGAGAGCCTGAAGTTCTGTTTGTTAGAATCATCCACCTGAGGTATTTCTGTTATAGTAGCACTAGAGAGCCTAAGACAGAATTTGGTAGCAGGAGTGGGTTGCTATTCTAAAAGACAAACTGAAATGTGGAATTGGTTTTGGAATTGAGTAATGGGTGGAAGCTAGAAGAGTTTGAAGGTGCTTAATAGTAAAAGATTGTCTTGAAGAGAGTGTTGGAATTAGGGCCTTCTAAGGCAATTCTGGCGAGGGTTCAGAAGGTAGACAGGGGAGCTGTCCCATCAGACCGTGCACACAGCGAGGAAGCAGCAGCAGAGAACCAGTGGTGTAGGACCAGGAGATGAAAATGAGGCAGTGCAGGAGCCACCCATGGAGCCAGGGAGCTTCCTGGCCAACTGGATTGCCTTCCAGCACCGCTGGTGGAGCTGGCTTTGCCAACACACAGAACAAGAGGGAGTGTCGTTAGGCTGAGGCTCACTGGCAGTGTGGAGTGCCTCTGAGCCCTTACTGGTAAAACCAAAGGCCACTGTAACTCTTGCCCAAGCAGGACCAAGGAATTAGGAAACAGCAAGGTACATGGGAAAGAGAGCTGCTTAATTAGCATCATAGAGCTTAGGGCCATGACTTCTGGGGTTTCCTAGAGTAGAATTCAGGCCTGTTGAGTCTTGATGACTGAGCCACGCCTCCTAGGTTTAAAGAGTCACACAAGCACTCCTTCAGTTCTGGATGATGGGACCTGTTGTTCACAAAGGCTGGAGTAATGAGGCTGGATCCGCTGCCCAGGCCTGGAGGGAGTGGACCACATCCCCGTGGGGCAGCAGAAAAGAACCTACTGAGATCACGCCTCAGATGGACAAGGAGGATGGTGATGGTGGTGACTGTGTGCCATCAAGTTGGGTCTGACTCATAGTGAGCCCATACAGGGTGTCTGAGGCTGTAAATCTTTACAGGAGCAGAAAGCCTCATCTTTCTACCCTGGAGCGACTGGCAGATTTGAGCTATTAACCTTGCGGCTGGCAGTCCAGCTCATTATCCATTACCCTACCATGCTTCTTGGATGAGGAGAAAAGGACTTCCCAAAGCCTAGGGAGTTGCTGTCCATACGGGCCTGGAAAGCAGAGCTGATGACCCAGGCCATGAGGTCTCCCCCCAGAGTCTAGAGGGCCAACCATTGCCTACGTGGTCTCAGGGAACAGAAAGTTCTTCTCAGGCCTTGAGATCTAATGTCACTTGTTCAGCTGGCTGGGTATTTGAACTGGTCTTTATTTCTCCTCTGTGATGGAGATGCCCACTTCATACCTGTTACACCAGTGTCCTTGGGAAGCAGAGAACTTGTTTTCTTGATTTCACAGGTTCGCAGATGAAAGGCAATTCTGCCACAGGTGATTTTGAACTTAGAATTGAATTTAGGCTTTTGGGATGATACGATGGGGTGAATATGTTTTACAAGTGGCAGAGACCATGGATTTAGAGGGACTAATGGATGGACTATTGTTAAT